GGTTTCTGGATGGACACCTCTTCCTCCACCCTGTCCATCGATCTCCTAGACACAAGGATAATCGCATCCGACGTTGGAACGCCGTAGCTGCAGCTGGGAGGGCTTCCAACAGTCACTGGCAGGGAGGAAGGACAGCAGGAAGGAGTTTTAAAGGCACCTAATCAACTGTTTTTAATCTTATTTTCCAAAGAGCATTTACTCCTCCATAAACACCAGCCAGATTCACCAAAGCATTTAAGCACCTAATGGCTCGTTGATGGAAGTAGGACACTCGATGCCTATTTGGCATTAGGCAAATGTTTGGAATAAGCCCTAAATGCCCTACATCTGACAGAAAAGTATTTAAGCAGAAAAAATGGTAACCCACATTAAAAAAAAAAAAGCTGGACTCTTTAAAAATTATCTAGGGTAGCTTTTACTTAAGGTGTTTTTGTGTCCCACAGCTATCAAAAGTTTTCTATATTTTTGAGAAATTCAAAGAGAAACCAAGAAAGGCACGTTGAAGTACACACAATGTATTTATTCACTGGTGATCGACACATACTTCTACATACTGACTACCTGGTCAGGCAGGAGGAGGAATATTCTTGATTCCTTTGCCTCCACAAATGTTTAAAGACTCACAAAATTCTGATATTGTGATTTCCAGAAAGTCAACATTTCTAGTTGCTTTGTTCACTTCTCACTTTCAAATAGCGTGAAACCGCGGGGATTTCTACTCCATTAAAGTCTGTTAGAACACCCTGCACAGATCTCTCTCCAAGGCGAAAAGAGGGGAGAAGATACTGAAATCGCCTATTGAAAACCAATTAAAGAAAATTTAACTGACCCTGCTCAAGCGGAGTCACGTAAACAGCGCAACCTTCCCCCTGGAAAATTCCAGTTGCATCTTAATTAAGGCCGACAATGCCGGAAGGTAAACTCATGCTATATCGGAGTAATGTAGTGTCCTGCCCTGTGTTCTGGCCCAAGTTGTCAGTTAGGATAAATACCAAGAGCATTAAGGCCACTGTACTTCACAACCAGAAATAGCTTTACAGCAGTTTTCAAAGGATGTAAAACTCACTGAATGGTGACCAAATATAAACGAAGATTAATTCTAGTAAAACCTTCACAGTTATAGGCCATGGGGACAATAAATATGTGATCAGTGGTGCAAGAAGGTTAATGAAAGGAATGACTGCTGGAAAGAAAAAGACTTCTGAAAATGTGTGCTGTCACATCAGGGATGGATTAGATACAGAAAACCAATACAAAACCAGAGAAAAGTGTCACTGCTAGAACTTAATCAAACAACATGTGCTGATTTTTCTAATGCAGTGGGAAAAGCTGACTTTCAGGCTTCAGGCACGCTGAAGAGCGGCCTTTGCCACCTACTGAAATCCAAAGCAGGCTGTTCCAGAAGCCTGCAACAATTTTAGAGAAACCCAGTGCTGTAAATAACAGCTTAACCCTCCCAGAAGCTGTCGTCTTCTGTGCCTACGAGCAGTATGGCAGGCAGGGGAGACGAGCTCCTTCCCTGCTGACCCACATGCGGGCCAGGCTCCGGCAAGAGAGAACGGTTTGACTCATTGGCACGAGATTCAGGCCCCGGCTACGTCTCTGCCCACATCACTGAAAACAAGACCTACAAGAGAGAATATGGAAGGGGTGTGAATTCACCAGGCAGGGAATAGTTGGCATAGTTTTATCCATTTTTAATTAAAGAAGTTAAAAGAGAACTATAAAACTTCAAGCCTTGCAACACTAGCAAATAAATACTGTCTCTGATGTTATCTTGTGCTGGAAAATACTGGTCGCCCTGATCATTTCTAACGGAGCTTGAAATTACCATGGGATTTCAGTATTTTCCTCCCATCTGCCTTGACACCTTCACGCCAGCTCTAGGTTGAATCCTCGCCCTCTGCTCCACGGCAGAAACGTGCCCGCGCTGCCCCGCCGCGGCGGGGACGGCCACGCTTCAGGAGGTCACGTCAGCTCTTGGGCTGCTCCGAGCGGGCGACACACAGGAGCCTTCTCACACCGCCAGTCCCTGCAGACGTTTTGCCTTCTTGCTATTTTACATGTTTCAGTTGACTCGGCGATAGATGTAGAAGCCAGCAGCAGTGCATCAGCTGCATTTGCACTGCGCTCCGGAGAATGCCAAACCTAGAACAATTTCACGGATTCGATCAAAGTCTACAGCTTTACCACCCGCAGCAACTGTTGCATTGACAACGTCTGGTTACGCAAAGATGACAAACCATGAAGCGAACCACGTGCTTTGGCTGTACCAAACACCGCACCGGAGAACAAAAGCAAGCAGAAACCAACCTCTACACCATGAGCAGACCCTCACAACACATGAATACAGGAGACTATCAGTTAAACTTTGAGTATCTCTTATACCTGCTCCAAGACACACAAAGTAAACAAGCTAGGAAAAAAAAAAAAAAAAAAAAAAATCTTATTTTCAACAGTTATGGTAGGACACAATGCTCGCATTGGCACCCAATTTTTTACTATACAATAGCTTCGAAACTGTCTCTGCCTTTTTCAAGAGCGGAGTGCTGAAAAGGGACTGGTTCTCAAAGAACATCAGTAAAAAGGCTCACAAATTTCTCCAAAAGTGTGAGGAGTTAAACGTGTAAGAAGGTTTGTTCTAAGAGTGAGGGCTGACATATTGCAGAAAGGTGAGAAACTCTCTCGGGAGGACTCTAACGCTCTCCCTCCCACAAGTAACCTTACATGTGCAGGTATAAAATGCAATGCTGTGTATTTGCTACAGAAAAGGTCCAGGGAATGTAGTGCATTAGAAAATGCCTGCCACTTAGAAACACAAGCTAAAAATTTTAAAAATATGTATTTCTATCGCATGTCCATATTGGAGAAGCACAGTTGCGCTCCTCAGAGGCAGACGTCACTGCACCGCGGGTCAGCAGAGGTGAGGGAGCTCTGCTCGGCCACGGCGTGCGACCCAGGCCACACAGGCAGCGTGTGCAGGGCTCGCGGCCCCGTGCGTGACCCACAGCCGGCCTAACAAGTCTGTGCCCGCTGCATTCAGGCTTCCCGCTCATCAACAACACAGGTGCCTGGGCCCAGCGGCTGTGATTTGGATAAAACTCCTGAGAATGTATGTACACTTTTTTAAAACTATGAGGCTTTAAAACAAAGTTTTACCAATTACAGTCTACACTCGAGAGTAATTTCACTGACCATGGAAACAGAGCACGCTCTGCAAACTCAAGAGTCTGCAGCTCCGTTTCTCTTCTGCGCCATTTTGCAGGAGAGAAGATTACCGGAATCTGCAAAGGAAAAATTAGGGAGAGCAAATGCAATTACCTGCGCTGGAATTTAGCCAAAATGGTAACTCTCACACAGAGCAGTATTTAGTGAGGGGGTCAGGAGACAGGTAAGTCACACTCTTTGATAGTGGGGCTTTTCATTCTTCGCATGAATGTTGGCTCAGGGCTAATAGAGATCAAAGCATATCACCCCGTGAATCATGAGGATGCTTCTGAAGCTGTCCCTCAACACACGCCACTTCAATTCTGACACATCACCGCCCTGATCCTGTGCTAAGGTGGTAGACCTACTGCCCATGTGCTTGCAGAGGAGGAGGAAATGGCAGCTCCATTTTGCTGTCTGTAGCCTGGCTACCAGCTTAGGAACAAGGCTTATTTATTGCTACCCCTTTTCTCCTCTCTCTTCTCCAGCAATGCATTCATTGGGCAGTTTAACACATTGAAAGAAAAATGAGTCTCAAAGAAAAATCGGCTTTTACAACACAGATGAAGAGGCAGAAGAGACAGAGCCTCGTTAGCAGAGCCTTTAGACCATCTGTAGCACATGTAGAGCTCCAGGCTGAACCCAGGATACTCCCTCTCAACCGGCGGGGATGTCACTGAAAACACAGGGGGGAAGAGGAGGAAGGAGAAAAGGGAGGGTGGGCTATGCTATTTGAACTGGGAAAGGGAAGGGTAACAAATTCACAGGAATCTCTCAATTCTGCTGCTCAGCAAGCATTTTTCATTCAGTATTTTAGTGAGATGTAAAAGCTCCTGGATGTAAAGTAGCTGCAAGGAGCTCCTCAGCAAGCCACGCGCATGCTCATGCAGGAACTGAAGCTACCAAAAACTCTGGAGTACAGCCAAGCGGAGCAAATACTCCCAAGTGGAATTCCATAGGCAAAAGCTGGTGCTGACCTAACTAGAAACAGATAAAATCCAAAAGGCCATTAACAAAGCATTAGAAACAGCCCATCCTTCCTTATTCCACTGCACGCTGAGTTTGCAGGACTGCAACATCTGCAGTAAAAGATGTCTTTTTATACAACTAGGCACCAAGTCTGTGCCTAACACGGTTTGTATGTTATGGACACAGCACCTGTGTGACTCCCACCAAACCCAACTTATGCACTGCTAATAATTTATTCACTCAGGCAATAGGCCTGAAAGTCACATTTCAAGAAAAGGCCCTGCCTTTCTCCCGGATCAGAGACCACCAGGGATGGATTCTTTCTAAGAACACATTAGAGATGACAAATACAACTCCTTCCACTACAAAGGGAAGAACCACCTAAGGAGAGCACAACTTGCAGGCTATTAACGGTAATTATTTTTCCCAGCTGTGAAGGACATAACAAAATTGAAATTAAAATTTGAAGGCCCCCACGGCCTGCTGCACAATACGATCACTGGGCACCATTTGAAGCTTAAGCCTCATCCCGACAGTTTTGTTTCGAACAATTCGCGGAGTACGGCGGCACCCATCAGTCCAACGCAGTGATCGACTCTGCTAGATCGCTTACTCAGCACGACCTCTTCCGAGCAACTCTCCAGGCCCTCATGCTCCCCAGCTTTGCAGACGTACATGATACTGTCACCAAAAAACCATGATTTCTAAGCAAATGAAACTGCAGTTTGCTACACGTAAATGAGTTCAATGGATGCATTTAACGTTATCTTCAGACATACTCAAAGCACAAATCACATTGCTCATTTGAGGTGGCAATGCCATACCTTATCACGTCGGGTTCTGGGCCTTCATTCTTATACGATGCCTGAAGTTGCTTCTGTCGTGTGAGAAGGTCGTCCACCAAATTCTGCCTCCTGTCTCCCTCCAGCTGCGTGCTGATGATACTTGGTTAAGGACGAAACTTAAAAACACTGAAAAACTTTAATTTTATTATATAAAATTCTTAAAATAAATATTTATTCTCAAAATAAATCAGACCTCCTGATCATCAAAATTAACTAGAGTAACCTGTAACTCAAGAAAAGGCTGTAACGTCTAAGAGAAGGATAGGTCACACATTTCTGAATGAAATCTGCTGTTACTCTAAATGTGTTTGTTAAGCTTACATATCGCAAAGAAAAGTTTTATACAGTGACCACAGAGTGATCTTCAGGTCATCATCTCAAAGTAATAAGAGAACCGGAAGGCTATTTCCTGCCAAATTAGCATAAGTATTAAGAATAGCATTTCCCCCTCCAAAATCCAGAATAGTTCTTCTTTCATTTATTACTAAGTCCTACGCAGCTGATCTCTTCCAGAACACTGACAGCGTATAACAGGACCGCAGGAGTTAAGCTCAGGAAAGGATGAGTCTTCTTAAAAGAGCTCCAACTTATACTGTTATGATATAAACAGGGCAGGTTCAAAGAGAATAGAGCTTTTAAAATCAGCAGGGTACTTCACATCTTATATCACTGGAGGCTCGTAACACAGACCAGGTGAGTAGCTCCCAGCCAAGTGATCAGGGAACAACCACAAATTTACTTTGAGCATCTGTTTCCATTTGCAATTCATCAGCAGAACACCCCAACAGATGCTCACGCAGCAGAAAAACAATACATGCAGTATCTCTGAAAGACAAGATGCCCTGAAGTGCTGCAGCTTCGACAGAGGACGTGTTTGCTTTTTTTAATTCATCTTAGTGACATTTTGAAGGACTACTAACCCTCTTCCAAGCACTCTTCAGTAGAGTATGCAATAGCTGAACTGATTTGTCTATGTTTTCTGCCACAGCAGTAGCATTCGTCTGCTCTCAAGCACTGACTGGACAGGAAAGTTGACTCCTGGCCGTCAGCACAGCACTCAGGGGGCCCGTGCTTAGAAGGGATTTCTGCTATAGTAAGCCTGAAATTAAATATTCGTTCATTAAATCAGATTGCTGCTGGATGTCTTCAGGGAGACAGACGTACTTTGACTCCTTAAGCCTGACTATCCCAGCATATGGAAAGAGCAGCAAATCCAAGCCAGGCCACAGGGTAATGCTCCTAGAAGAAAACCTGTGGTTTCTTCCTATGGCATATTTTAAAGCATTTGGGCATCATTCTGAAGATGCAGTTCTATTGCTCCTTCAGTCAGCCCAAGTCGGGGCTGCCACATCCCTGCCCACACCCCGAACAAGGCTTCCTCCTTCCCTTTTGCACACGCTGGCACTCCTGCAGCCAGCGACTGAGCCAAGAGAAAATAACAGATTAGCGAGTTTTCTGCTAGAGGAGCGACCTTAGCTCATAACCAGCCACTCCACCAGCAGCGTCGGCACAGCGCACAGACGAGGCGATGGCAGCTCTGAGATTATTCAGACCATCTTGTTAAGCTTCTCTCTGATGCAAACATAACCAAGGCCAGCCTCATGCCCACTGCACCGGAGATGCCCGGGCTCCCAACTCTTCCTGCACTACAGCTGCAATGAAAATATTAAACAGCAGCAGGAACAAAGTTCTAGTGACAAAGTCGTCTAAAAATGGAAGGAGGGAAAAACCCTAACTGCGTGGCAGAGCAATTATAGCACATTTTTCCACTCTCTCCCACAATACAGAAAGGTCAGCGAGTTGATGATTACACAGATGCATTTGGCGTGTTGATACGGCCCGAAGCAGTAAGTCCTTCAGCTGATCGATCTTCTCTCTGAGATTCTGCAACGACGATCTGATAACCACATTGAGCTGAAGGGGAAAAAAAGAAGGTTTTTTTTTTTCAGTCCGAGTTATAGTTGCGTAAAATTTAATACTACTACATGCAGGTGACAATATATTTAGCTTCAGCTATACTGGTGTGAAGGACTCTGTTCTGAACCAAGGCGGCCTGCCCCAGAGCCGCAAAGGGAACGATACAGTTAACCGGTTTGGAATGCTTACAAAATAATGAGATAAATAACACGAGTTTCGCAAACACAATTCTAACGCATTAATGCTGTTTAATACGGAGAACTTTCTTTCAAGTCTTTATAAACACACTCCTTTATATGGGCAAAACATTTCAGCACATTTTAATATTTTCCAGTTCATTTTCCAGTTCTTTCCTCTGATCTTTAATACAACTACAGGCGCCAGCTGCTTCTGCCACCAGGTTTCTTTCCCAGCTCGTAGGATTAGAGGGAAGGCTGCTACAGGTTCAGACATTCCCTCCACTGAATTCCCCCAGACTTCAAACTAAAGATCCCAGAGAAATTCAGATTTCCTCCATTTCCCCTCTCAGCAGCACCTCTGACTCCCGACCCTTTCCCACAACCGACCTGCCCCAGATTCAGACGCGTCTGTTCTTACTAAAAATGTAGTTAATTTGTTCGCATTCTTCCCTGCTGCAAGCAAGCCCGAGGTTTGCGGGAATCCTCCTCTCTCCCCACCCCTTCCCAAGTTAGGCTGACATTCTCCTCTGGGCTTTTCCTCCTTAAATGTTATTTCTTTTCATTCCAGTGATGTAGAACACACTAGGAAAAAACGCTGTAACTGCAATTAACTGTGCAAGTCATCCTAATTAAGACTTTATGTGCTTCTTGTTTACAAGATATTAGCCCCGCTGTGGGTTACAATGGTTAGCAACCTCAGATGCTCTGTGTGATGAGCTAGTAACAGAGGAGGAAGATTTGCTTTGACTCCAATTCCTGCGTTCTTGAAGACACGGAGGCAGCAGCCAGACACCAACATCTCACTGACTGATCGCTGGGCTGCCTAGAGCTAAACTGCACTCGGTGTCTGCAGAGGGATGGAGCAGGAGTTCCCCCAAAAAACCCCACCTGGTAGCCCCAGAAGTTTAAATCTCTCCGACTCAGCGAGACTTGTTCTCAAACACTACCAAATATGAGGACAGAGAGCAGATGCAACCACACTGAGGCAGTCTTGAGAGTACGGAGCTGAGCAAAGAGCTGCAAAATCCACCTTCAGACCCAAAGCCGCCGAACACTGAGGCAACGTTTCCAAAGCCAGGACAGGGTATAAATGCTTTTAGGAAAGTTCAAGCCGCTGCATAGCCTCTAGCTCTGCAATTAGGTAATAAAAGGTCTTTTCATTTCACGTGTCCATTTCCCGCACTTGTGCCCAGGTGGAGAACGCTGCATTTCATCGGCCCCGAACAGCAGAGTAACGCAGAGGTATACACGTCCAAGTCATCTAACGTACATACTCCCTCTGCTCCTCTGGCCAGAAACTGCAGCGCTATCACAAAAGATTTCACTTCCATTAAAGAAAAAAAGTAAAAAAGAAACCAGTGGAAGTTTGAAGATCAGCTCAATAGAGCAGAGTTCACAGATGGTAAGTGCTGGCTTGAAATCTTTCCCCACAGGGCTTTTTTTTTTTTTCCATTTTTAATTTTTTGCTTTTT